AGATGCCTCCACTGACACACAGACAGACGTCTCCATTGGCACACAGACAGACGTCTCCACTAGCACACAGACAGACGCCTCCACTAGCACACAGATAGACGCCTCCACTGACACACAGACAGACGCCTCCACTGACACACAGACAGACGCCTCCACTGACACACAGACAGACGCCTCCACTGTCACACAGACAGACGTCTCCACTGTCACACAGACAGACGCCTCCACTAGCACACAGACAGACGCCTCCACTGACACACAGACAGACGCCTCCACTGGCACACAGACAGACGTCTCCACTGTCACACAGACAGACGTCTCCACTAGCACACAGACAGACGCCTCCACTGACACACAGACAGACGCCTCCACTAGCACACAGACAGACGCCTCCACTGACACACAGACAGACGCCTCCACTAGCACACAGACAGACGCCTCCACTGACACACAGACAGACGCCTCCACTAGCACACAGACAGACGTCTCCACTAGCACACAGACAGACGCCTCCACTGACACACAGACAGACGCCTCCACTAGCACACAGACAGACGCCTCCACTGACACACAGACAGACGCCTCCACTAGCACACAGACAGACGCCTCCACTGGCACACAGACAGACGCCTCCATTGTCACACAGACAGACGCCTCCACTAGCACACAGACAGACGCCTCCACTGACACACAGACAGACGCCTCCACTAGCACACAGACAGACGCCTCCACTGACACACAGACAGACGCCTCCACTAGCACACAGACAGACGTCTCCACTAGCACACAGACAGACGCCTCCACTGACACACAGACAGACGCCTCCACTAGCACACAGACAGACGCCTCCACTGACACACAGACAGACGCCTCCACTAGCACACAGACAGACGCCTCCACTGGCACACAGACAAACGCCTCCACTAGCACACAGACAGACGCCTCCACTGACACACAGACAGACGCCTCCACTAGCACACAGACAGACGCCTCCACTAGCACACAGACAGATGCCTCCACTAGCACACAGACAGACGCCTCCACTGGCACACAGACAGACGCCTCCACTAGCACACAGACAGACGCCTCCATTGTCACACAGACAGACGTCTCCACTGACACACTGACAGACGCCTCCATTGTCACACAGACAGACGCCTCCATTGGCACACAGACAGACGTCTCCACTGGCACACAGACAGACGTCTCCACTGACACACAGACAGACGCCTCCACTGACACACAGACAGACGTCTCCACTAGCACACAGACAGACGCCTCCACTAGCACACAGACAGACGCCTCCACTGGCACACAGACAGACGTCTCCACTGGCACACAGACAGACGTCTCCACTGGCACACAGACAGACGCCTCCACTATCACACAGACAGACGTCTCCACTGACACACAGACAGACGTCTCCACTGTCACACAGACAGACGTCTCCACTGGCACACAGACAGACGCCTCCACTGGCACACAGACAGACGCCTCCACTGGCACACAGACAGACGCCTCCACTGACACACAGACGCCTCCACTGACACACAGACAGACGCCTCCACTAGCACACAGACAGACGCCTCCACTGACACACAGACGCCTCCATTGTCACACAGACAGACGCCTCCACTGGCACACAGACAGACGACTCCACTAGTACACAGACAGACGCCTCCACTGGCACACAGACAGACGCCTCCACTGTCACACAGACAGACGCCTCCACTAGCACACAGACAGACGCCTCCACTGACACACAGACAGACGCCTCCACTGTCACACAGACAGACGCCTCCACTAGCACACAGACAGACGCCTCCACTGGCACACAGACAGACGCCTCCAGTAGCACACAGACAGACGCCTCCACTGACACACAGACAGACGCCTCCACTGTCACACAGACAGACGCCTCCACTGTCACACAGACAGACGTCTCCACTGTCACACAGACAGACGCCTCCACTAGCACACAGACAGACGTCTCCACTGGCACACAGACAGACGTCTCCACTGTCACACAGACAGACGCCTCCACTGGCACACAGACAGACGTCTCCACTGTCACACAGACAGACGCCTCCACTAGCACACAGACAGACGCCTCCACTGACACACAGACAGACGCCTCCACTGACACACAGACAGACGCCTCCACTGTCACACAGACAGACGCCTCCACTAGCACACAGACAGACGCCTCCACTGGCACACAGACAGACGCCTCCACTGTCACACAGACAGACGCCTCCACTGTCACACAGACAGACGTCTCCACTGTCACACAGACAGACGCCTCCACTAGCACACAGACAGACGTCTCCACTGGCACACAGACAGACGTCTCCACTGTCACACAGACAGACGCCTCCACTGGCACACAGACAGACGTCTCCACTGTCACACAGACAGACGCCTCCACTAGCACACAGACAGACGCCTCCACTGACACACAGACAGACGTCTCCACTGACACACAGACAGACGTCTCCACTGGCACACAGACAGACGCCTCCACTGTCACACAGACAGACGCCTCCACTGGCACACAGACAGACGTCTCCACTGTCACACAGACAGACGCCTCCACTAGCACACAGACAGACGCCTCCACTGACACACAGACAGACACCTCCACTGACACACAGACAGACGCCTCCACTAGCACACAGACAGACGTCTCCACTAGCACACAGACAGACGCCTCCACTGACACACAGACAGACGCCTCCACTAGCACAACAGACAGACGCCTCCACTGACACACAGACAGACGCCTCCACTAGCACACAGACAGACGCCTCCACTGGCACACAGACAGACGCCTCCACTGTCACACAGACAGACGCCTCCACTGGCACACAGACAGACGCCTCCACTGACACACAGACAGACGCCTCCACTAGCACACAGACAGACGCCTCCACTGACACACAGACAGACGCCTCCACTAGCACACAGACAGACGTCTCCACTAGCACACAGACAGACGCCTCCACTGACACACAGACAGACGCCTCCACTAGCACACAGACAGACGCCTCCACTGACACACAGACAGACGCCTCCACTAGCACACAGACAGACGCCTCCACTGGCACACAGACAAAACGCCTCCACTAGCACACAGACAGACGCCTCCACTGACACACAGACAGACGCCTCCACTAGCACACAGACAGACGCCTCCACTAGCACACAGACAGATGCCTCCACTAGCACACAGACAGACGCCTCCACTGGCACACAGACAGACGCCTCCACTAGCACACAGACAGACGCCTCCATTGTCACACAGACAGACGTCTCCACTGACACACTGACAGACGCCTCCATTGTCACACAGACAGACGCCTCCATTGGCACACAGACAGACGTCTCCACTGGCACACAGACAGACGTCTCCACTGACACACAGACAGACGCCTCCACTGACACACAGACAGACGTCTCCACTAGCACACAGACAGACGCCTCCACTAGCACACAGACAGACGCCTCCACTGGCACACAGACAGACGTCTCCACTGGCACACAGACAGACGTCTCCACTGGCACACAGACAGACGCCTCCACTATCACACAGACAGACGTCTCCACTGACACACAGACAGACGTCTCCACTGTCACACAGACAGACGTCTCCACTGGCACACAGACAGACGCCTCCACTGGCACACAGACAGACGCCTCCACTGGCACACAGACAGACGCCTCCACTGACACACAGACGCCTCCACTGGCACACAGACAGACGCCTCCACTAGCACACAGACAGACGCCTCCACTGACACACAGACGCCTCCATTGTCACACAGACAGACGCCTCCACTGGCACACAGACAGACGACTCCACTAGTACACAGACAGGACGCCTCCACTGGCACACAGACAGACGCCTCCACTGTCACACAGACAGACGCCTCCACTAGCACACAGACAGACGCCTCCACTGACACACAGACAGACGCCTCCACTGTCACACAGACAGACGCCTCCACTAGCACACAGACAGACGCCTCCACTGGCACACAGACAGACGCCTCCAGTAGCACACAGACAGACGCCTCCACTGACACACAGACAGACGCCTCCACTGTCACACAGACAGACGCCTCCACTGGCACACAGACAGACGCCTCCACTGTCACACAGACAGACGCCTCCACTGGCACACAGACAGACGTCTCCACTGGCACACAGACAGACGTCTCCACTGTCACACAGACAGACGCCTCCACTGGCACACAGACAGACGTCTCCACTGTCACACAGACAGACGCCTCCACTAGCACACAGACAGACGCCTCCACTGACACACAGACAGACGCCTCCACTGACACACAGACAGACGCCTCCACTGGCACACAGACAGACGCCTCCACTGGCACACAGACAGACGCCTCCACTGGCACACAGACAGACGCCTCCACTGTCACACAGACAGACGCCTCCACTGTCACACAGACAGACGTCTCCACTGTCACACAGACAGACGCCTCCACTAGCACACAGACAGACGTCTCCACTGTCACACAGACAGACGTCTCCACTGTCACACAGACAGACGCCTCCACTGGCACACAGACAGACGTCTCCACTGTCACACAGACAGACGCCTCCACTAGCACACAGACAGACGCCTCCACTGACACACAGACAGACGTCTCCACTGACACACAGACAGACGTCTCCACTGGCACACAGACAGACGCCTCCACTGTCACACAGACAGACGCCTCCACTGGCACACAGACAGACGTCTCCACTGTCACACAGACAGACGCCTCCACTAGCACACAGACAGACGCCTCCACTGACACACAGACAGACACCTCCACTAGCACACAGACAGACGCCTCCATTGTCACACAGACAGACGCCTCCACTAGCACACAGACAGACGTCTCCATTGGCACACAGACAGACGCCTCCACTGACACACAGACAGACGCCTCCACTGGCACACAGACAGACGTCTCCCCGCGCCTCACCGACTCCCCGCCTCGCGTCGCTTCCTCTTCGTGCCCCGCGCCCGCGGCTCCATCCTCACGGCAGGGGGGCTCGGCAGGGGGCGCAGAGGCGACCAGCCCGGCCGCGTGCGACTCCCCGAGACCCACGGTCCCAGCGCGGAGCGATCAGTCTGGATGATACTCCTGTACGATACTCCTGTACGATACCTGTTCCAGCGTGGAGATCCCAGCGCTGAGGCATCAGTCCGGGTGTTACTCTGCTGCGAGCCCCACCGTGAAGATCCCAGCGTGGAGGGATCAGTCTGTATTTACAGTACTATCCTGCAAGCCCCAGCGTGCAGGGCCCAGCGTGAAGGTCCCAGCGTGCAGGTCCCAGCGTGCAGGTCCCAGGGTGAAGGTCCCAGCGTGCAGGTCCCAGCGTGCAGGGCCCAGCGTGAAGGTCCCAGCGTGCAGGTCCCAGGGTGAAGGTCCCAGCGTGCAGGTCCCAGCGTACAGGTCCCAGCGTGCAGGTCCCAGGGTGAAGGTCCCAGCGTGCAGGTCCCAGCGTGCAGGGCCCAGCGTGAAGGTCCCAGCGTGCAGGGCCCAGCGTGAAGGTCCCAGCGTGCTGGGCCCAGCGTGAAGGTCCCAGCGTGCAGGGCCCAGCGTGAAGGTCCCAGCGTGAAGGTCTCAGCGTGAAGGTCCCAGCGTGCAGGTCCCAGGGTGAAGGTCCCAGCGTCTTAGCTTCACATCTTCCCAGTCCCGCGCTTCCGTTATTACGAAAAGCCCCGGCCCACAGTGACCCCGCCCCATACCCATACGCTCCGCCCCCTACCCACACGCTCCGCCCCCTACCTACACGCCCCGCCCTCTAACCCCGCCTCCTCAAATTCCACTGCGCTCAGCAGCATCAGCAGGTGGCGCAGTGGGTAACGCGAAGTGCCTAGAGCCAATGAGGAGAACCCAGTCACCCACTCGCTCACCGACCCACTCACTCACCGACCCACTCACTCACCGACCAATTCACTCACCAACCCACCCACTCACAAACTCACCGACCGATTCACTCGATCTGCTCCCTCACCCACTCACCCACCCGGCACCATCACGTGTGTGAGAGAGACTTTGGCTTCATGTCTCCGCCACGAGGTGGCGGCCGCGCCCCGTGGCCCCGTGTCTCCCCTCTCTCTACTCCCGTGTCTCCCCTCTCTCTACTCCCGTGTCTCCCCTCTCTCTACCCCCGTGTCTCCCCTCTCTCTACCCCCGTGTCTCCCCTCTCTCTACTCCCGTGTCTCCCCTCTCTCTACTCCCGTGTCTCCCCTCTCTCTACTCCCGTGTCTCAGTGTCTCCCCTCTCTCTACCCCCGTGTCTCAGTGTCTCCCCTCTCTCTACCCCCGTGTCTCCCCTCTCTCTACCCCCGTGTCTCCCCTCTCTCTACCCCCGTGTCTCCCCTCTCTCTACCCCCGTGTCTCCCCTCTCTCTACTCCCGTGTCTCCCCTCTCTCTACTCCCGTATCTCAGTGTCTCCCCTCTCTCTACTCCCGTGTCTCAGTGTCTCCCCTCTCTCTACCCCGTGTCTCAGTGTCTCCCCTCTCTCTACCCCGTGTCTCCCCTCTCTCTACCCCCGTGTCTCCCCTCTCTCTACCCCCGTGTCTCCCCTCTCGCTACCCCCGTGTCTCCCCTCTCTCTACTCCCGTGTCTCCCCTCTCTCTACTCCCGTGGCCCCGTGTCTCCCCTCTCTCTACTCCCGTGTCTCCCCTCTCTCTACCCCCGTGTCTCCCCTCTCTCTACTCCCGTGTCTCCCCTCTCTCTACCCCCGTGTCTCCCCTCTCTCTACTCCCGTGTCTCCCCTCTCTCTACCCCCGTGTCTCCCCTCTCTCTACCCCCGTGTCTCCCCTCTCTCTACTCCCGTGTCTCCCCTCTCTCTACTCCCGTGTCTCCCCTCTCTCTACCCCCGGGTCTCCCCTCTCTCTACCCCCGTGTCTCCCCTCTCTCTACTCCCGTGTCTCCCCTCTCTCTACCCCCGTGTCTCCCCTCTCTCTACCCCCGTGTCTCCCCTCTTTCTACTCCCGTGTCTCCCCTCTCTCTACTCCCGTGTCTCAGTGTCTCCCCTCTCTCTACTCCCGTGTCTCAGTGTCTCCCCTCTCTCTACCCCCGTGTCTCCCCTCTCTCTACTCCCGTATCTCAGTGTCTCCCCTCTCTCTACTCCCGTGTCTCAGTGTCTCCCCTCTCTCTACCCCCGTGTCTCAGTGTCTCCCCTCTCTCTACCCCCGTGTCTCCGTGTCTCCCCTCTCTCTACCCCAGTGTCTCCCCTCTCTCTACTCCCGTGTCTCCCCTCTCTCTACTCCCGTGTCTCAGTGTCTCCCCTCTCTCTACTCCCGTGTCTCAGTGCCTCCCCTCTCTCTACCCCTGTGTCTCCCCACTCTCTACTCCCGTGTCTCAGTGTCTCCCCTCTCTCTATCCCCGTGTCTTCCCTCTCCCTACCCCCGTGTCTCAGTGTTTCCCCACTCTCTACTCCCGTGTCTCCTCTCTCTCTACTCCCGTGTCTCAGTGTCTCCCCTCTGCCTATCCCCGTGTCTCAGTGTCTCCCCTCTCTCTACTGCCGTGTCTCAGTGTCTCCCCTCTCTCTACTCCCGTGTCTCAGTGTCTCCTCTCTACTCCCGTGTCTCAGTGTCTCCCCTCTCTCTACTCCCGTGTCTCCCCTCTCTCTACTCCCGTGTCTCCTCTCTCTCTACTCCCGTGTCTCAGTGTCTCCCCTCTCCCTATCCCCGTGTCTCAGTGTCTCCCCTCTCTCTACCCCCGTGTCTCCCCTCTCTATACTCCCGTGTCTCAGTGTCTCCCCTTTCTCTACTCCCGTGTCTCCCCTCTCTCTACTCCCGTGTCTCAGTGTCTCCCTTCTCCTTATCCTCGTGTCTCAGTGTCTCCCCTCTCCCTACCCCCGTGTCTCCCCATGTCTCATCTCTCTCTCGTCCGTGTCCCAGGACCCACCTGAAACGGAATCTTGAGTCTGAGTCTTACCGAGGTTAACAGACGTAATAATAATATTTCATGATAGTCTGACGAATGATTTGATTGACAGAAAATCGTATTTTATTGATGGGATCTATAATATATCATCAGCCAAGATGAACCGTGGCTGATGAAGATGATGAGAGATCTGCATTGCATTGCCCCGCTAGTTATATCATCCTGCGTCCGTCGTGATTTCATTCCCCGTGTGGATACTGAGGAAGAAGATTGAAGTCGGACCAGGATCAAAATGGTTTATTTTTATATTCAACACATCCGTGGCGGTTTAATGGTCAGCACGCTAGACCTGTCACCCCGAGGTCGCCGCTTAGATTCCAATTGTCCGTCTCGGCAGTGAAAGAGATTTGGCCCCTTCCTCAAATCCCCGGCCTCTGTGACCCAGCAGGGCGATTGAGACGACACCGCGCGCTCTGTCACTCAGCTGCCCGGGGAGGACACGTGGCCAGGAGCCACGCAGAGCCCCAGCGGCCAAGAATATTGACAGAGTGTGGCAGACGGCGAATGTGACGGCGTCCGAGAGGACGTCCACGGAAGAGATGGAGCACTGAAAGCCGCCAGCGTGCAGAAGTCGAAGGATCGTCGCAACGCCCAGCAGTGGATTGAGTTCAAGGCGCCCCGTAACAGCTTCACGGTTTATCCGCCCCGATTTCCGCCACCGCACCGCAGCTCACGGCTCATCCCGTTCGGCCGCCTCCCCAGCCCGGCCGGAGCGCACGTTCGGCTGGCAGGGTGGCGGTGACGCAGTGGCGATGCTTGCGCCTCACGGCAAGAAGAGCCTGGGTTCGATTCCCGTCTGTGCCGCCTTGCTGTGTGGAGTTGTGTCAGAGTGAGCGAGAGTGTGTGTGGGGAGCGGTAATGTAGTGGCTAGCGCGCTGTGCTACGACCCCGGTGTCCCGAGTTTCGATCCCTGCTCACGTTCAACACCAGTGACGATAATATGAGCCGGTCCTGGGCTTCGCCTAGGTTGACTCAGCCTCAAATTAGTACATGGTGCGGTGTGTAAACATCGCCACTCGTGGAATCGCAGTTAATGAATGCACCGATTGGCGCGTGTGAACGCAGCTCACGGCCTTGCGGCGTAATGCAGCGGCTACCACCTTCAAGTCTCAGTTTGGATGGTGAACGTGTCATATATTTGTTTCTTGACATTTCAAAACCGTATTAAAGCTTTCGTGACTGCAATTATCACACTTCTACGGGGAAGTTACCGTTGTAATTATGTGTAAGATGTGCCCTTTTTTGAGCTGCCGTTTTGTATTTACAAGAGGTGGTCATTTTTTGAGCTGCCGTTTTGTATTTACAAGAGGTGGTCCTTTTTTGAGCTGCCGTTTTGTATGTGTAAGATGTGCGTGTTTGAGCTGCCGTTTTGTATGTGTAAGATGTGCGTGTTTGAGCTGCCGCTCTCGCTCTGGCCCCTCCCCCCCTCCAACCTTATTTCCTATTTAAGCTTCTGTTCATCCCTCCGGCCCCCCCCCCCATCTATCTCTGCCTCCCTGTCCGTCTTTCCTCCCTCCTTACCTCTTGGTGGACTTGTATATGTATTTCTACTGACCGTGTACCTCGTATTTTTCATTCTATCTATGCTGGTATGTGCAATCCAAAGGTTGAACACGAAATTTAACACTCTTCTGAAATTCGTGGTCCACCAGGAAGTGTCTAACTGTGTTGTTGGCCTGACTGGATGTGCTTCACATAATGTTTTTTCAGGTTTGTTGAATTATCGTCTCTCATCTTTTTGTTGTATTTACCTCTGTGATTTGTTCTTGACACCTGATGAAGATCGCTTGCGTTGTGATTGAAACGTCGTGATTGTTTTTTGTTTTAATATAACTTTATTGTATTTCTACATACGTGACTTTACCGAAAAAAACAATGAGTAATTTCAAAACCGGTTTTCGTTTTTCTCTCCATGTGGTGGCTAGGAAATGTTAACTACCTCGCCTGGTATACAGGAGGCCGTGAGTTCGATCCCGATCCTCACGCCTGCTGCTGCTGCTGTATATTTGGAGTTTGCGTGTCTCTCTCCCCATGGCCCCGTGGATTTCTCTCCGGGCTGTCTGGTTGTTCCTCCACATTTAGAATGAACATGCTTTTGGAGTATTTGGCTGCTATACATTTCCACATGATGAGCCACTTCGTAGAGCTATTATTTTTGGCCAGGTCGATTCTAAAAAAGAGCTTGAGCTTTACCTGGTAAATTAAAATTGTTTAAACATATTCTTTGGTTCTATTCGGTAAAGTCACGTAGGTAAAAAATAAAACAACAAAAATCATTTGTGATGTTTGTTGTTTTATTTTTTACCTACATGACTTTACCGAATAGAACCAAAGAGTATGGATCCTTGCAGTCACGAAAGCTTCAAATCTAGAATTGTTTAAACATAGTTTACTAGCCTTTTTCCCGTCCAAGGACGGGTGTATTGCAGTAAATATGAAACTTGCAAGCGAAAAGCAGACCGCGACGTGATGTTAATTGCATCAATTGGCGTGCAATTTGTAAGGGCGCGGTGGCACAGACCTATTAAATTTTAAGGTTATAATCCCTTGTCCATCACGACGTCCTTTTTACTTCTACGTCTCAACAGCGTTACGGAGATCACGTGATGTGAGGGTTCTGCCTTTGTAGTGAGGGTTGTGAGTTGACGCCGAGGAGGGGGGAGGAGGCGCCTCGCCCCCCACGTGGAGTGACGTCACCCGGTAATTATTATTAATGATGGGGGGCGTGTCCATTTGAGAGGACGTCACCTGCTCGTGATTATTAATGAGGGGAGCTGTTCGCTGTGGAGTTACGTCACCTGCTCATGATAATTAATGAGGGGGGAGTGTGCTCCATGTGGAGTGACGTCACATGCACGTGATTATTAATGAGTGGGGGGTCCATGTGGAGGACGTAACCTGATCATCATTATTAATGAGGGGGGCTGGTCGACGTGGAGTGACGTCACGAGCGTTGTACACAGACATTCTTGGCTCATTATAGTAGGTAGTAGTAGTAATAATCATGGAGGGGTTGTCCATTTGGAGCACGTCACCTGCTCATGATTATTAATGAGGGGAGCTGTTCGATGTGGAGTGACGTCACTTGCTCATGATTATTAGTGAGGGGGGGAAGTACTCCATATTGAGTGACGTCACTCGCTCATGATTATGAAGATGGGTGGGGGGGGGGGTCTATATGGATGACGTCACCTGCTCATGAATATTAATTAGGGGGCTGGTCAATGTAGAGTGACGTCACGAGCGTTAAGAACAGACATTCCTGGGTGATTATAGTAGGTATAGTCTGAGTAAATTGCGCTACGATTCATATTGTTGGTTCTTTCGGTAAAGTCACGTTAAAGGGAAACAATAAACCAATAAAATTGTCGAATAACCTCGCTCAAAGTCAAAAATCGTGTTCGCGTGCCTTCAAGGAGGCTGCTTCGTTCCTTCACACGGCGGCACGAGTCGGGGCTGAGTGGGAATTCACAATGAACCGGCATCAAGGAGAAGAGTTGGGTCGAGAAGAGTGGATGGTGTGGTAGGAGAGTGAGCGCAATGGGGAGATGGGCGAGAGAGCGCGCAGCTGGGAGAAGCAAGAGGGGGCGGAGAGAGACGAACGTGGGGAGAGAGTGGAGAATGGGAAGAGTGCGGAAAGTGGAGAATGGAGAGGAAAGTGAGTAGAGAGTGGGAACATGGCATCAGGAGCGAGCACTGGGGAGGCAGGAGGTGAGGAATGAATGGGAGAGGTGAGTAGAGAGATATGGGAGCCGAGAGGAGAAATGGAAGAGGAGAGACGGGGAGAGTGGGGAGAGGCGCCCTCTCTCTTGCTTAGAAGGGGAGGGGGACACGGAGAAGTGAGAGCAGCGAGCGGGAGCGAGGGAGGGGAGAGTCTGGGGAGAGGGAGGAGGGATCAGGGTCGCAGATGTGGCGGCGGCGGCGTGCTGTGTGGTCCGGGCCGGGGCCACACACATACACACTGTACACAGACAAAGATCCCCCGTATAGTCTTCAAGAAACTCTTGGGTAAAGTGCTGTTAGCAAGCACCTTTTTGCCGGCACGGCATGCGAAGCGATGGGTGGCCAGCACCACGCCCGACCGCCTTTGTCTCCCTCGTGGCGATGTTTACACTCCGCACCAGGTATCAATTTGAGGCTGAGTCTACCTAGGGGAGGCCCATGCCCGGTTTAGATAGTCGTCACTGATGTTGGCCGTGAGCGGCAATCGAACTCGGGGCGCGCAGCGCGCTAACCATTGCGCCACCACTCCTCACGACAACACACACCGAGATCCACCCAGTGCCCCCTCCCTGCCAGCCTCTCTCCCTAGCCCGGCCACACACAGCGCCCGCATCCCCCCCCCCCCCGTGTATCCCCTCTCCTCCTCATCTCCCTCCACCACTCCTCTTCCCTGTGCTCGCGATTCTGCGTGGAGCCGCGCTACACTACCGCCACGCACGTTCCGCGGTGCGTGCACGCACACTCGCACGCAGCTACACACACACAGGTACACACACACACACACCGGTACACACACACACCGGTACACACGCACACTCGCACGCAGCTACACACACAGGTACACACACCGGTACACACAGTCGTCCACGCACAGCCACAGACATTCATACAGGCACACACGCACACATAGACACTCACATACTCGCACTGACGCACACAGGCTCACACACTCACACCAGGCACACACTCACACCAGGCACACACTCACACCAGGCACACACTCGCACAGACACACACACACTCACACAGACACACACACACTCACACACAGACACACACACTCACACACACAGGCACACACACTCACACCAGGCACACTCACACAGACACACACCAGACACACACACACTCACACAGACACACACACACTCACACACACACACTCTCACACAGACACACACTCACACAGACACACACACATACAGACACACACAAGCACACTCACACACAGGCACACACACTCACACCAGGCACACACACTCACACACACACTCACACAGACACACACACACTCACACAGACACACATTCACACAAACACACACACTCACATACACAGGCACACACACTCACACAGACACACTCACACAGACACACTCACACCAGACACACACAGTCACACCAGACACACACCAGGCACACTCACACAGCCACACACAGGACGCAGGAACACACTCGCACTCACACGCAGTGTTGCGAACACTTACAAAGGTGATGTTACAATGGTGATGCTGGCTGTGATGTGGGTGATGCTGGCTGTGATGTGGGTGATGCTGACTGTGATGGGGATGATGCTGGCTGTGATGTGGGTGATGCTGGCTGTGATGTGGGTGATGCTGGCTGTGATGGGGATGATGCTGGCTGTCATGTGGGTGATGTTGGCTGTGATGTGGGTGATGTTGGCTGTGATGTGGGTGATGTTGGCTGTGATGTGGGTGATGCTGGCTGTGATGGGGATGATGCTGGCTGTGATGTGGGTGATGTTGGCTGTGATGTGGGTGATGTTGGCTGTGATGTGGGTGATGTTGGCTGTGATGTGGGTGATCCTGGCTGTGATGTGGGTGATGTTGGCTGTGATGTGGGTGATGTTGGCTGTGATGTGGGTGATGTTGGCTGTGATGTGGGTGATGCTGGCTGTGATGTGGGTGATGCTGGCTGTGATGTGGGTGATGCTGGCTGTGATGGGGATGATGCTGGCTGTGATGTGGGTGATGTTGGCTATGATGTGGGTGATGCGGGCTGTGATGTTGGTGATGCTGGCTGTGATGTGGGTGATGCTGGCTGTGATGTGGGTGATGCTGGCTGTGATGTGGGAGATGTTGGCTGTGATGTGGGTGATGTTGGCTGTGATGTGGGTGATGTTGGCTGTGATGTGGGTGATGCTGGCTGTGATGTGGGTGATGCTGGCTGTGATGGGGATGATGCTGGCTGTGATGTGGGTGATGTTGGCTGTGATGTGGGTGATCCTGGCTGTGATGTGGGTGATGTTGGCTGTGATGTGGGTGATGTTGGCTGTGATGTGGGTGATGTTGGCTGTGATGTGGGTGATGCTGGCTGTGATGTGGGTGATGCTGGCTGTGATGTGGGTGATGCTGGCTGTGATGGGGATGATGCTGGCTGTGATGTGGGTGATGTTGGCTATGATGTGGGTGATGCGGGCTGTGATGTGGGTGATGCTGGCTGTGATGTGGGTGATGCTGGCTGTGATGTGGGAGATGCTGGCTGTGATGTGGTTGATGCTGGTTGTGATGTGGGTGATGCTGGTTGTGATGTGGGTGATGCTGGCTGTGATGTGGGTGATGCTGGCTGTGATGTGGGTGATGCTGGCTGTGATGTGGTTGATGCTGGTTGTGATATGGGTGATGCTGGCTGTGATGGGGATGATGCTGGCTGTGATGGGGATGATGTTGGCTGTGATGTGGGTGATGCTGGTTGTGATGTGGGTGATGTTGGCTGTGATGTGGGTGATGTTGGCTGTGATGGGGATGATGCTGGCTGTGATGTGGGTGATGTTGGCTGTGATGGGGATGATGCTGGCTGTGATGTGGGTGATGTTGGCTGTGATGTGGGTGATGCTGGCTGTGATGTGGGTGATGTTGGCTGTGATGTGGGATGATGCTGGCTGTGATGGGGATGATGCTGGCTGTGATGGGGATGATGTTGGCTGTGATGTGGGTGATGCTGGCTGTGATGGGGATGATGCTGGCTGTAATGTGGGTGATGCTGGCTGTGATGTGGGTGATGTTGGCTGTGATGGAGGCTGTGCAGGATTGACTCCAATGTGTTCGTACTGAGCGCTGACGTCACTCGCAGCTGGACCGCTCCTGTCCACGCCTCCCGTCCCCCTGCTCCTACTCCAAGTCGCCGCTCTTCACTCCCCATCATCATCATCATCCCCCCTCTTCTCTCCTGCAGCTCCGGACCCATTCGCTTTGAGTTCCCGACACATCATCATCATCATCAGGGGCTCCGCGGACCCCCGCGGAAGGGACGTGACGTGACGATCCCTGTCAGGGGAGAGTTCTAAGTTGGGGTTCGGGAGGAGTGGGGGGGTTCCGTGCTCCCCCTAACTCCCCGGCGTTGCCCCGTGAAGCCAGGCTGGGGGTACCGGGGGGTCCGGCGCCACTGGGGTTCGCGCGGGGCCCTGGGCCCCCTACTCGCCCGGGGAGAGCGGGGCCCGAGGCCATGGAGGGGGCCCCACCGACCCCTGCTACCCCGGCGACCCCCTCGGCCCCGCTGGGGCTCAGAGCGATCTACCAGGAGTGCCGGCGGGCCTACCCCGACCAACCGAATCCCCTGCAGGTGACTGCCATCATCAAGTACTGGTGAGTGAACGGGGATGAGGGTGGCGAGGGTGGTAAGGGTGGGGAATGACCTGGGTGAGATTGGTAAGTTACCTGGCTAAGTGTTGTGAGTTACCTGAGTGAGTGTGGTGAGAGTAATTAGGATGAGGAGTAACCCGGGTGAGGGTGGTGAGTGTGATGCGTCTCCTGGGTGAATGATGATCACCTAGGGGATGATGGTAAACACAATGACGAGGTGGATGAGTCTGTGGCGCGATTGAGTGCTAAGTTCTGCCAGCCTCACCCATATACAGCTGGCGGTGACGTCACAACAGCACTTGTGCCAGGTTAGATACACTTTGAGGCCATGTGAAGTGTTCAAGGCTCGCCGACAGGAGGTCAGAAACCAGACTCGGGTGACATGGGTTAAAGTAGGGAGCACCAACTGTGCTCCTACTTTACCTACTCGCAGCGTTTCATCTTCCCGGCGCTCCGCTCGTTGCCGTGAGCGTCGCTCCTCTGCCCTCTGCCCAGCAGCAGCGTCCTTTCACGAGCCTCCGCCACAGAGGCCGATCCTGACACCGCTTGTACCAGTCATCAGCAAGTCCACTCAGCTCCACATCCTCCTGTACCGCGTCACTCCATCTCTTCTATAGCCCGTGGAACCCCTCGATCCAGCCAAACGGAAGCTGCTGGGGCATGCGGTGATTGGGCATGCGGTGACTGGGCATGCGGTGGCTGGGCATGCGGTGACTGGGCATGCGGTGGCTGGGCATGTGGTGGCTGGGCATGCGGTGGCTGGGCATGCGGTGGCTGGGCATGCGGTGGCTGGGCATGCGGTGACTGGGTATGCGGTGGCTGGGCATGCGGTGACTGGGCATGTGGTGGCTGGGCATGCGGTGACTGGGCATGCGGTGACTGGGCATGCGGTGGCTGGGCATGCGGTGACTGGGCATGCGGTGGCTGGGCATGCGGTGACTGGGCATGCGGTGGCTGGGCATGCGGTGACTGGGCATGCGGTGGCTGGGCATGCGGTGGCTGGGCATGCGGTGACAGGGCATGCGGTGGCTGGGCATGCGGTGACTGGGCATGCGGTGGCTGGGCATGCGGTGACTGGGCATGCGGTGACTGGGCATGCGGTGGCTGGGCATGCGGTGACTGGGCATGCCGTGATTGGGCGTGCGGTGACTGGGCATGCGGTGGCTGGGCATGCGGTGGCTGGGCATGCGGTGACTGGGCATGCGGATTCCATGACTCAACGCAACCTTGCCTGCCGGAGGAGCTCACCGATGGGACTGTGTCAAGATCTTTAAACGATCTGTGAGCTCACACAAGCAAGCCTGGTTAAACCCAGGATGGATCGTAGGCAGTACAACCTGAATGTTTAAAACCGGCGCAGATGTTCTATTAGAGGGGTCCATGTTTCGCTAGCATAGAGATGGAAGGGAATAACTTTAGCCGAGACGACTCGAAGATTTGTGTGGAGCGATAGTCCAGGTAGCAGCTGATGAAAATACAATGCCGCTCGACCGATTTGGAGTGAGACCTCGAACTGGTGCACACACACACATCTTCACACTTTCACACACACACACATCTTCACACACACACACGCCTTAACAATAACAGTAACCTCCAATCAAAACGCGCCGCCACCACACGGTTGACCACTCGCTCTCGTTGAGAGAGGGAGGGCGACTCGGAGGCGCCAGGTGGAGGGAAGGCATCAGCAGCAGCATCAACAGTATCAGCAGCAGCCATGCAGCGACGAGTTGGTCAAGCTCTGCGGCCCTCTGTATAGTGAGGTGTTTCGGGCCATCGATGATGAGTGTTTACAAGTGCGAGGAAACCAGAGCGCCCGGAGAAACACTGCGAGCGGGCAGCAGGCTCTCACGCACAGATGAAACAGATGGAGATTAGTCCACGTTCGCTGTCTTCCTCGACGACGTCCACCTTGCTCGGCGTCCACCCATCGGACGGGAGTTTCGCGACATCTGTGCGTGGTCCACCAACGCTCGCTTCTGCCTCCACGGCGCTCCGTGACAGGGGCACGCCTGTAACAAATACCAAGATCCCTGTGTGGTTACGCCTACTATTGGGGGCAAGTGTTGTTAACGAGCACCTATTAAGATCGGCACAGCGCATGGTGGACGGGTTGTATAGCCAGCACCACCCCCGGCCGCCTTTGTATCCCCAGTTGTAGTGTTCGCACACTGCACGAGGTACTCCATTAAGGCGACCAAGGAGAGGCTCAGGACTTGGTTCACATTTCATTCTCCGCTGATGGTGAGGGGCGCGGGGAGGGGCGCGGGGAGGGGCACGGGGAGGGGCACGGTGAGGGGCGGGGCACGGGGAGGGGAGGTGAGGGGCGGGGCGCGGTGAGGGGCGCGGGGAGGGGCGAGGGGAGGTGAGGAATGTGGTGAGGTGAGGGGCGTGAGAAGGTACAGGTGGTGTGGACTGACATTCACTCAAAGGTCCCTGGTTTGACGTGTAAGCTGTGAGCGCTGTTAGCGAGCGCCTATTTAGGCTGGCAATGCGTACGAGGGGGTGGTGTGGCCAGGACCACGCTACGGCCGCCTTTGTCTCCCCAGTGGCGATGTTTACACTCTGGGGAAGTCACAGGACCGGTTCGGATATTCGCCAACGTTGATCAGTGGCGAGCGGGAATTGAACGCGGGTGGCCTGGTTCACGCAGCTCACACTTACACCTACACACACTCACACACACTCACATACACTCACACACACTCACACGTACACACACTCACACACACTCACACGTACACACACTCACACGTACTCACACGTACACGTACTCACACGTACACACTCACACACACTCACATACACTCACACACACTCACACGTACACACACTCACACGTACACACACTGACACGTACTCACACGTACACACACTCACTCACACGTACACACACTCACATGTACACACACGTACACACACTCACACGTACACACACACACGTACTCACACGTACTCACACGTACACGTACTCACACGTACACACACTCACACACACTCACACGTACTCACACTCACACGTACTCACACGTACACACACACGTACTCACACGTACACGTACTCACACGTACACACACTCACACGTACACACGCTCACACACACTCACACGTACTCACACTCACACGTACTCACACTCACACGTACACACACTCACACGTACTCACACTCACACGTACACACACGTACACACACTCACACGTACACACACTCACACACACTCACACGTACACACACTCACACGTACTCACACGTACACACACTCACACGTACACACACTCACACGTACTCACACTTACACGTACATACACTCACACGTACTCACACGTACACACACTCACTCACACTCACACGTACACACACTCACATGTACACACAAGTACACATACTCACACGTACACACACACGTACTCACACGTACACGTACTCACACTCACACGTACTCACACTCACACGTACACGTACTCACACGTACACACACTCACACGTACACACACTCACACGTACACACACGTACTCACACTTACACGTACACACACATACTCACACTTACACATTCACACACTTACACGTACTCACACTTACACGTACACACACACGTACACACACACACGTACACACACTCACACGTACTCACACGTACACACACTCACACGTACAGACACTCACACGTACACACACACGTACAGACACGTACACACACTCACACGTACTCACACTTACACGTACACACACTCACACACACTCACACGTACTCACACTCACACGTACACACACTCACACGTACTCACACTTACACGTACACACTCACACGTACACACACTCACACGTACTCACACGTCCTCACACTCACACGTACACACACTCACACGTACATACACTCACACGTACATACACTCACACGTACACACACGTACACGTACACACACTCACACGTACACACACGAGCTATTCACAACACCCACGCACTCACACTCTTACACTCTCACACACGAGCACGCAAACATTCTCACACAAAGACAAAGATCTCTCGTGTAGCCGACACAGACTGTTGGGGCAAGTGCTTTTAGCGAGCTCCTATTAAGAGCAGCATGACGCATGAGGCCTGGCCCTCTTTGTCTCACCACTGCTGACATTTACACTCCGCTCCCAGGTACTCTTTAAAAAGTCAACCTAGGCCCAGGTACGGGTTCATTTATCAATCGCAACCCATTGTAGCCTTGGCCGGGAATGGAACTCGGGTGCCTTGGGTCGTGGCGTGGTGCGCCAAGCAGTGCGCCACCGCTCCCCACACGAACAAACGCGGGCGGAGCAAGAGCGGCCTGGGTGGTCGCGCTGACGTCGGCATTAGCGGCACTCTCCACCACCCCCTCACTCCACTCTCCCCTTCTCCTCCCTCCTCCTGCTGCCTACACCCCCTCCCACTCTCACCTTCTTCACTTTCTCCCACTCTCACCTTCTTCACTCTCTCCACTCTCACCTTCTTCACTCTCTCCCACTCTCACCTTCTTCACTCTCTCCCACGCTCACCTTCTTCACTCTCTCCCACTCTCACCTTCTTCACTCTCTCCACTCTCACCTTCTTCACTCTCTCCCACTCTCACCTTCTTCACTCTCTCCCACTCTCACCTTCTTCACTCTCTCCCACTCTCACCTTCTTCACTCTGTCCCACTCTCACCTTCTTCACTCACTCCCACCCTCACCTTCTTCACTCTCTCCCACTCTCACCTTCTTCACTCTCTCCCACTCTCACCTTCTTCACTCTCTGCCACTCTCACCTTCTTCACTCTCTCCCACTCTCACCTTCTTCACTCTCTCCCACTCTCACCTTCTTCACTCTCTCCCACTCTCACCTTCTTCACTCTCTCCCACTCTCACCTTCTTCACTCTCTCTCTTCACTCTCTCGTGCAGTCCCGTACGCTCGCCCACTTACCTCTGTGTACTCCCCCATGCACCCTTTCCCCATCACTCTTCTCGACTCTTCCTCTGCCTCTCACCGAACACTCGCTCACTCGGCCCTCCACTCTCTCTCTCGACCCCCGTACCTTGTTGAGTCTCTCCTTCCCCTCTCATCCTCACCGCTCTCTCTCGGAGTCTCACGCACTGTCCCAGCCACTCTCCCCTCCACGCTCCCCTCTGCTTTCTCATAAACTCACGACTGCCCGTCAACCCTCGCCTCTTAATCCTCTCCCCACCACTCTCCTCTCTCCTGCCTACTGTCCCGTCCACCACACTCACGCGCTCACTCCCCCCCAGACTCTCTCTAGTCGCACATACAAACACAAAGACCCCCCAATCGTTTTTCAGCATTGGAGTTTTTTTTGTAGCTACGGGAGGAGGGAGCCGGAGAATGCGGAGGAGACCTTCGCAGGACAGGGGGGCAATCTCACAAACTCCGCTCACACTCGGAACCACAGAGACCCCTCCCTGTATCGCCTGAACAAACTGTTAGCGAGCAGCACCTGAGGAGAGGGGACCCGACAACTCGAGGAGAAGTGGCTTTGATGCTCAAAGCTCCGCACAGACGTATTCAATAATTCTCTATGCTGTCGTGTTGCCATCTGCTGGCCACCTCGAAGCCCCACGCCTACAGGACGCCTCGTACTACCCAGGCACAACTCCCATCCACGTACGCACCAGGCGCAACGTTGCTTAGCCTCCGAGATCCGGCGCAGGGAGACACAAATTCGTGCAGGTGAACGGCCCAGGTGGCGCGTGGCCGTGGGAGGAGAGGGCGGGGGTCCGTGGATTGAGCGTCTCTGACGTGACGACGATGATGGTGGTGCTGGTGCTGGTGATGTTACTGATGACGGCGGTGCTGGTGGTGGTGATCGTGATGGTGTGGGGGAGCGGTAGTGCAGTGGTGCTTAGCGCGCTGCGCTACCGAACACGGCGTCCCGAGTTCGTTTTTCCACTCACGGCCACCAACACCAATGCCGATTACCTGAACCGGTCCTGCACCTTCCCTACGTCGACTCAGCATTAAAATGAGTACTTGGTTCCGTGTGTAAACATTAATAGGAGACAAAGGCGGCCGGGCGTGTGCCGTGCCGGCCTTCATAGGTGCTACTCGCTAACAGCAATTGCCCCAAAAGTCTGTTAAGGCTACACGGGTGACCTTTGTCTGACAATCACGATGATGGTGGTGATGATAGTTATGGTATTAATTAATAGAATGATGGTGGTGATAATGATTATGGTAATGATTATGATGGTGGTGGTATTGGTGGTGATGGTGGTGGTAATGATTATGATGGTGGTGGTATTGGTGGTGGTGGTAATGATTATGATGGTGGTGGTATTGGTGATGGTGGTGGTAATGATTATGGTGGTGGTATTGGTGGTGGTGGTAATGATTATGATGGTGGTGGTAATGATTATGATGGTGGTGGTATTAGTGCTGATGGTGGTGGCAATGATTATGATGGTGGTGGTATTAGTGGTGATGTTGGTGGTAATGATTGATGGTGATCGTGATGGTGCTGCCGCTGATGATTATGATGCTGCCGCTGATGCTACTATTGCTGCCGCTGATGCTACTATTGCTGCATGCTACTGATACTTCTCTTGTAGATGATGATGCTCCCACTGGTGCTGATGATGATTCTATTGCTTATTCTGATGGAAACATTGCTGCTGCTGATGCCACTGGTGCTGCTGATGCCACTGGTGCTGCTGATGACGGTGGTGGTGTTGATGCTGGTGGTGGCGTTGATGTTAGTGGTGGTGTTGATGTTGGTGTTGATGCGTTGCGCGTGCAGGCTCGGGGGTCCGGACCCCCTGGACTACGTCAGCATGTACCGCAGCGCGGGGGACCGCGCCAGGGGGGTCCCCGAGCACTGGCACTACGTCACCATGGGGCTGTCCGACCTGTACGGGGACGGGCGTGCACACGAGTGAGTGTACACGCGCGCGTGTGTGTGTGCACAAGAGTATGTGTGTGTGTCGACGTGTGTGTGTTCACACAAGAGTGTGTGTGTGTAGACGTGTGTGTGTGTGCACAAGAGTGTGTGTGTGTCGACGTGTGTGTGTGTCGACGTTTGTGTGTGTGTCTACGTGTGTGTGTGTCTACGTGTGTGTGTGTCGACGTGTGTGTGTGTGTGCACAAGAGTGTGTGTGTGTGTAGACGTGTGTGTGTGTTCACACAAGAGTGTGTGTGTGTAGACGTGTGTGTGTGTTCACACAAGAGTGTGTGTGTGTAGACGCGTGTGTGTGTTCACACAAGAGTGTGTGTGTGTCGACGTGTGTGTGTGTCGACGTGTGTGTGTGTTCACACAAGAGTGTGTGTAGACGTGTGTGTGTGTGTCCACGTGTGTGGGGAGCGGTAGTGTAGCGGTTTGCGCGCTGCGCTACAAAGCTGGCGACCCGAATTCGATTCCCGCTCACGGCCAACACCATTGACAATTATCTAAACCGGCACTGGGTCTCCCCTAGGTCGACTCAGTCTCAAATGAGTACCTGATGCGGTGTGTAAACATCGCCACTAGGGAGACAAAGGCGGTCGGACGTGGTGCTGGCCACCCACCCCCTCGTGTGCCGTGTCGGCCTTCGTAGGTGCTCGCTAACAGCACTTGCCCCTACAGTCTGTTAAGGCTATACGGGGGATCTTTGTCTTTGTGTGTGTATACACGTGTGTGTGTATACACGTGTGTGTACACGTGTGTGTACGTGTGTGTGTGCACGTGTGTGTACATGTGTGTGTACACGTGTGTGTGTGTACACGTGTGTAAGGAAAGGTGGCGCTGTGATGAGCGCACTATGCCACGAACCCATTGGTGACCCAAGTTCGATTCCCGCTTACGGCCAATATCAGTGACGAATATCTGAACCGGGCCTCGTCATCCCCTAGGTCGACTCAGCCTCAAATGAGTACCTGGTGTAAATGTGTAAACATCGCCACTGGAGAGACAAAGGCTGCCGGGCGTGGTGCTGGCCACCCACCCCCTTCCTACGTGCGCCGTGCCGACTTTAACAAAACCAGCTTCGTTTAGACAGCACTTTCCCCAACGGCACGTGTAGGCTACACGGGGGATCTTTGTCATTGTACACGAGTGCGCGGCGCACACGAGACACCCACCACCACCACCACCCTCACCCTGCCCCCCCCACTCACCCTGCCCCCCCCTCTCACCACCCACCACGCGGCCACACACGAAGTCGCCGCTCCCCTCACCGGCGTGACGTCCATTAGTGGCGAGTTCCATCCTCCCCCCTCCCCCCCTCCCCTCCTCCCCCCTCCCCTCCTCCCCCCTCCCCTCCTCCCCCCCTCCCCTCCTCCCCCCCTCCCCTCCTCCCCCCTCCCCTCCTCCCCCCTCCCCTCCCCCCCTCCTCCCTCCACCCCCCCCCTCCTCACACTCTCTTCCCTCCCCTCCTCCTCCCCCCTCCCCCTCCCCTCCTCCCCCCCTCTCCTCCTCCCCCCCCCCCTCCTCACACTCTCTTCCCTCCCCTCCTCCTCCCCCCTCCCCCTCCCCTCCTCCCCCCTCCCCTCCTCCCCCCCCCCCCTCCTCACACTCTCTTCCCTCCCCTCCTCCTCCCCCCTCCCCCTCCCCTCCTCCCCCCCTCCCCTCCTCCCCCCCCCCCCTCCTCACACTCTCTTCCCTCCCCTCTTTGCTACCTTCACTCTTATCCCCCTCTCCCAGCGCCTCTCGACTCATCGACACTCCCTTTCCTCTCTCTCCTCCTCCTCCTCTCGCCCTCTTTTTCTCTCCTCATTATTTTTCCTCCCCCTCCTCGTCGTCGCCCCGCCCCTCAGGAGGGGGGCCCCCGAGGAGCTGAGTGGCTTCGGCTTCGAGCTGACGTTCCGCGTCAGGAGGGAGGTGGGGGAGAGCGCCCCGCCCACGTGGCCCGCAGAGCTTCTGCAGGGCCTGGCGAGATACGTCTTCCAGTCTGGTAGCACAACCACCACCACAACTACCACTACCAGCACAACCACCACTACTGCCACTCCTACCACCACAACCACCACCACAACCAGCACAACTACCACAACCACCACCACAACCAACACAAACACTAAAACCACCAGAACCACAACCACCATCACAACCACCACAACAACCACGACCACCACCACCACAACCACCACGGCAATCGCCACAACCATAACAACCAGCACAATCACCACTACAACCACTCCCACAAGCACACCAACCACTACAATATCCACAACCACCACTATACTCATCATCACACGTGGAGTTTGTCACTGGCCGCTCTGGGCCTGTGCTCACCACAATGCGGTCACCGCCCCCCTCGCCGTCGTCTCTCGGCTCGTGACACCACGCAGCGGCCGCTCGCTGCTCTCGTAGAGACGGGAGGAAGACTCGGAGGAGGAGGAGGAGGCGAGGGGGGGGGCAGCAGCAGCCACGCGGCTAGGAGCTGGCACCACCAAGTTGTCCACGCTCTAGGGTCCTCTATATATGAAGGCGTTTCCGTTCAATTAATCACGAGCGTTTGCACGTGGCTGTGAAACCAGCGCACCGAGAGAAAGCCCAGGCGTGCGAGGTGGAAACGCTGTATCCCCCATAGATGGAGCGGGTGGGGATCAGTCCACACTTGATCTGCACTGCCTTCCCCGCGCCAGCCGGAGGAACGCCTCCTCCTCGGCGCCCACCCACGGGCCGGAGGGAGCTTCACAGCCCATCCGTGCGCGATCCACCAACTCTCGCTGCTGCCGCCTCCGCAGTGCCGCATTACAGGCGCACGCTTAGCAATAGCGGCCACCGCGACTCCTGCGCCCCCCCCCTTCCTGACCCCCCCACCCCCCCAGAGAACACGCTGTGCGCGGGGGACCACGTGTCGTGGCACGTGCCGCTGGACGGCTCCGAGTCGCGCCTGCAGCACATGCTGGTGGCGCCTGAGCCGCAGCTGCAGCCCCTGCGCAGCCCCCTCGGGACCCTCTCCTTCCTGCAGGTCCCGTGGGGAGGGGGGGGGGTCTGGTAATATACGGAGTGGGGGGGGATGAGGGAGACACGGGGAGACAGGGGAGAGGGAGACACGGGGAGACACTGTTGGGCCGGGGTGGTATCGAGCACGTGGGGACACGGTGGCAGGGGGACCGACTTGGAGACGTGGAAGGGATGCGGGGGCCTCACGGAGACACTGAGACGCAAGGGGAGACACGGGGGGGGGGCGGGGGGCGGGGCACATGGGCAGACGCAAAGGGAACACTCCGAGACATGGGGAGACGGGGAGATACGCGGGGAGACACTGGGACAGGAGGAGACACCACGGGGACCGGTGGCCCGACGGGGCCCACGGTGCGGGGTATGCGGCTGACTGACGGCCGGGGCGGCGTTTGGCCCGCAGGTGGTGGGGGTCTGCGCCGAGGAGATGCGGGCGGCACAGCAGTGGAACGGCCTGGGGGTCCTGGAGCTGCTGTCGTCTGTGCCGGGGTACGTGCCCCCCTAACAGGGGCCCCGACGTAGGAATATGGAATGCGGCACCGCCTGCTCAACTGGGCCCGCATGCCACTCAGTGACCCCTTTCCCGCGTCTCCCCTGTGCCTCCTACCCATGCCCACGTGACACCCTCCCTCCCCACGACCCCAGTGTCCCCATCCCATGATAGGTCATGGCCCATGAACCCTGTCACCTTGACCTCTCGCGACCTCTTCTGAATCTCCGTGACCCTCCGTACCCCTTTATCTGCTCCCCGTAATCCCCTACGCCCCCTCCCCCCTTCTTCCCTGCACGAACCCCCCCCCCCGTGTCTCCCCCCCCCCGTGTCTCCCCCCCCCCCGTGTCTCCCCCCCCCCCTCGTGTCCCTCCCCCGTGCAGAGCGGGGGGCCCCTGGCTGGTGACGGACATGCGGCGCGGGGAGTCGGTGTTCGAGTTGGAGCCGCGCTCGGCGGAGCGCGTGGAGCGCGGCGTGGAGGCGGAGGGCTCCAACCTGAGCGGGGTGAGCGCTCGCTGCGCATGGGAGGAGGAGGGGGGTGGCGCGGGCGTGGCCGGGGGGGGGCACAACCTTCACCTCCACCACCACCCCGACTACAACCACCAGGGCCACCACCACCCCGACTACAACCACCATGGCCACCACCGCCACCACGACGAGGACGAGGACGACGACTCCATCATCCTCCCGGGCGGCGGAGGAGACACGTGCGGCGTTGGTGAGTCAGCCAGGGTTGGTGGCAACCTCACCATCATCACCATCCTCACCATCCTCACCATCACCATCCTCACCGACCTCACATCCTCACCATCATTAGTGCTCGTTTACCCAGGGGGGTGGAATGTCCCCCCCTGCCCCCCATTGCTTGCGAGTCGTCAGCGGCGTGCTGACGCTGCTGCCCTGCTGCTGTGCCGCGGTGCAGGGGGCGCGGGGGGCTGCGCGGAGGAGCGGTTCGCGTGCCCCGGGCCCCCCGGACCCCCCGGGCCCCACGGGCCCCACGGACCCCCCGCATCCCCGGGCCTGGTGCCCCACGAGCTGGTGCGTGCCCGCAGGGTGGGCGCTGTCTGCCTCCAGCTCAACATGGAGGCCGCACTGCTGGTGCCGCTTGCCCTGAGGTAACCGTGGCAACGCTCACCGCCTCACCACCGCCTCACCACCGCCTCACCACCGACTCACCAACGACTTCACCACCACCTCACCACCACTTCACCACCACCTCACCACCACTTCACCACCACCTCACCACCACTTCACCACCACCTCACCACCACTTCACCACCACCTCACCACCGACTTCACCACCACCTCAACACCACTTCACCACCACCTCACCACCGCCTCACCACCACCTCACCACCACCTCACCACCGCTTCACAACAGTAACGCAACCCTCCGCTTTACCTCACCAACTCCTGACCATTTCCGCCTCACCTGTGCCACGACTTCACACCTCGGCACCTCACCTGTGCCACGACTTCACATCTCGGCACCTCACCTGTGCCTCTGCCCCCCCCTCTTCCTTTGGCCCCTCCCCCATCGCCTCCCCCTGGCTCCTCCCCTTGTCCCTCCTCACCCCCCACAATGGTCTCCTCCCCACCTCTCTTTCCCCCATCGTTTAACCCCTCTCCCTTTTTCCCCCGCCCCCCCCCAGGGGCCGCATCCTGCACGGGAGGCACTTCACGTTCAAGTCGGTGTCGGGCCTCGTGGCGCTGACGCTCGTGTCCAGCGCGGTGCACGGGGCCCTCGTGCGCCCCTCCTGCCCCCACGCCGCACACGGCCCCTGGTTGCAGGTCGCCTTGCTTGCTCACTTGGGACTCGCTCACCTGTGTCTCACTTGCCACGACAATCCCACCTGTGCCACACTCAGCCGTGACTGTACACTTTTGCCACGCCCGTGAGCTTACCTGTTATTAATCCACGCTCACCTGTGCCTCACCTGTACCACAATGTGACGACGCCTGCATCATCCTCGACACACCTGCACCGCGCCGACAACTATCGTGGGGTCGCGAGTGACGGGAGCTCGTGGCCAGGGACGCGGCAGCACGGGGATCGTGAAGCCACGCGTGCGGAGTTTTGAATCATCCGTCCCCGCCGCCCCTTCCCCCAGATCCTCATCCCGGATGAGTTTGCGCGGAGGATGCTGGGAGACATGAGCGACCTCATGAGCGAGCCCCACAAGGTGATGTGATGATGGTGGTGGTGATGATGTTGGTAATTGTCGATGTTTATGATGATGTGAATGACGTTGATGTTGCCGCTGTTGTTGATGTTGTTGATGTTGATGATGTTGTTGATGATGTTGTTGATGTTGATAATGTTGTTGATGTTATTGATGATGTTGATGTTGTTGATGATGTTGTTGATGTTGATGATGTTGTTGATGTTGTTGTTGATGATGTTGTTGATGCTGAAATAGGTTTTACCCTTTTAACTGGCACAAAAACTGACACATTTATTCAAGGCATCATGTTTGCAATAACCACAACACAAGCAGTCAAAATGCAAACAAAAGAGACAGTGCATATTATTATCAGAGTTGTGTCTTTTGTTTGCATTTTGACTGCTTGTGTTGTGGTTATTGCAAACATGATGCCTTGAATAAAGGTGTCAGTTTTTGTGCCAGTTAAAAGGGTAAAACCTATTTCTATATTTTGTTACTGGCAAAGGAGGTCTCATAATGTTGTTGATGTTGTTGTTGATGATGTTGATGATGATGTTGTTGATGATGATGTTGATGATGTTGATGTTGTTGTTGATGATTATGTTGTTGATGATGATGTTGTTGATGATATTGTTGATGATGTTGTTGATGTTGTTGATGATGTTGTTGATGATGTTGTTGATGTTGATGTTGTTGATGATGTTGATGATGTTGATGTTGTTGATGATGTTGTTGTTGATGTTGTTGATGATGTTGATGTTGTTGATGACGTTGATGATGATGATGTTGATGATGATGTTGTTGATGTTGTTGATGTTGTTGTTGATGATGATGTTGTTGATTATGTTGTTGATGTTGTTGATGATGATGTTGTTGATGATGTTGATGATTATGTTGTTGATTATGTTGTTGATGTTGTTGATGTTGATGATGTTGTTGATTATGTTGTTGATGTTGTTGATTATGTTGTTGATGTTGTTGATGATGATGTTGTTGATGATGTTCTTGATGTTGATGATGTTGATGATGTTGTTGATGTTGTTGATGATGTTGTTGATGATGTTGTTGATGTTAATGATGTTGATGTTGTTGATGTTAATGATGTTGATGTTGTTGATGATGTTGTTGATGTTGTTGATGTTGTTGATGATGTTGTTGATGTTGTTGATGATGTTGATGATGTTGACGATGATGTTGATGTTGTTGATGATGATGTTGATGATGTTGATGATGTTGTTGATGATGTTGTTGATGATGTTGTTGATGATGTTGTTGATGATGTTGTTGATGTTGTTGATGTTGTTGATGATGTTGATGATGTTGTTGATGTTGTTGATGTGAATGATGTTGATGTTGTTGATGATGTTGATGATGTTGATGATGTTGTTGATGTTGTTGATGATGTTGTTGATGATGTTGTTGATGTTAATGATGTTGATGATGATGTTGATGATGTTGTTAATTATGTTGTTGATGATGTTGTTAATTATGTTGTTGATGATGTTGTTGATGTATGTTGTTGATGATGTTCTTGATGTTGTTGATTATGTTGTTGATGTTGATGATGTTGTTATGTTGTTGATGTTGATGTTGTTGATGATGTTGATGATGATGTTGATGATGTTGTTGATGTTGTTGATGTTGTTGATGATGTTGTTGATGTTGTTGTATTTCGATGTGGCAGCTGAAGCTGCCGCGTGAGTTCTCGTGGCCTGATCGGAGGCTCCGCCTCCTCGTGCTGCCGGACGCCGACATCGACAGCATCAGCACCCCCCACTAGCCACGGCCCCCCACTCCAGAGCCCCCCCCACTAGCCACGACCCCTCACTGCAGGGCCCCCCACTGCAGGGCCCCCCACTCTCCACGACCTCCTACACTCCAGAGCCCTCCACTCTCAAGCCCCCCACTCTCTAAGAGTCTCCACACCTCAGGGTCCCCAAATATCCAAGCACCCCCCACCCCAAACACTCTCCAAGGCCCCCCACTCTCTAGGGTCCTCCACAATCTTCAGTGCCCCCCACATCCATGCCCCCCTCCCCCCGGCTCACACCAGCCCCCCCTCCCCAACCATCCAAGACCCCCCCCCCATACTCCCCGGGGCCCCCTTCCTTGTGAGTAACATGCGGTGCTGTACATAGACTGTAATTAATATAGACTGTAATTATAGACTGTACCTATAGACTGTATGTGAGTCTCGTTTCTCCTCTTCCTGTGTCTCTTGTCGCCAGTACCCAACCAGTAGTGGACCCTCCACGTTACTGTGACAGGACCAAGTATGTTTGTTTTATTTTTTATTAATTAACTCGTTAAGTCCCTGCACTGAGTGATATGGCCTTCAGGGGCGGTACTCGTTTTAGCGACCCCAAAGAGATAATGATGATGGTGGTGGTGATGGCAGTGGTTTTGATGATGATGGTATTGATGATAATGATTGCAGTGATGATGATGGTAGGGATGATGGTAGTGATGATGATGATGGTAGTGATGGTGGCTCTATTCAGGGCCGTCACTCTTGACCAAAGCGCACCGTCTGCCGTAGCTATGAGGCGGACGTTAAAGACTCTGTGATGACGACGTTAAAGACTCTGTGATGACGTCGATAAAGACTCTGTGATGACGTCGATAAAGACTCTGTGATGACGTCGCAGGCCCGCCCCTCACCTCTTCCCTGAACTCACCTGTATATAACAAGTGTGTGTATGTGTAATATATAGTATATAACAACAGTGTGTGTATGTAGTATATAACAGTGTGTGTATGTAGTATATAACAGTGTGTGTATGTAGTATATAACAACAGTGTGTGTATGTAGTATATAACAGTGTGTGTATGTAGTATATAACAACAGTGTGTATGTAGTATATAACAGTGTGTGTATGTAGTATATAACAACAGTGTGTATGTAGTATATAACAGTGTGTGTATGTAGTATATAACAACAGTGTGTGTGTGTGTATGTAGTGTATAACAACAGTGTGTGCATGTAGTATATAACAACAGTGTGTGTGTATGTAGTATATAACAACAGTGTGTGTGTGTAGTATATAACAACAGTGTGTGTATGTAGTATATAACAACAGTGTGTGTATGTAGTATATAACAACAGTGTGTGTATGTAGTATATAACAGTGTGTATATAGTATATAACAACAGTGTGTGTGTATGTAGTATATAACAACAGTGTGTGTGTAGTATATAACAACAGTGTGTGTGTATATAACAACAGTGTGTGTATGTAGTATATAACAACAGTGTGTATGTGTATGTAGCATATAACAGTGTGTGTGTGTAGTATATAACAACAGTGTGTGTATGTAGTATATAACAGTGTGTGTAGTATATAACAGTGTGTATGTAGTATATAACAACAGTGTGTGTGTGTAGTATATAACAGTGTGTGTATGTAGTATATAACAACAGTGTGTGTAGTATATAACAGTGTGTGTGTATGTAGTATATAACAACAGTGTGTGTATGTAGTATATAACAACAGTGTGTATGTAGTATATAACAACAGTGTGTGTGTAGTATATAACAACAGTGTGTATGTAGTATATAACAACAGTGTGTGTGTAGTATATAACAACAGTGTGTATGTAGTATATAACAACAGTGTGTGTATATGTAGTATATAACAAGTGTGTGTGTGTGTATGTAGTATATAACAGTGTGTGTGTGTAGTATATAACAGTGTGTATGTAGTATATAACAACAGTGTGTGTGTGTAGTATATAACAGTGTGTGTATGTAGTATATAACAACAGTGTGTGTAGTATATAACAGTGTGTGTATGGAGTATATAACAACAGTGTGTATGTAGTATATAACAGTGTGTATGTAGTATATAACAACAGTGTGTGTATATGTAGTATATAACAAGTGTGTGTGTGTATATGTAGTATATAACAAAAGTGTGTATGTAGTATATAACAACAGTGTGTGTGTAGTATATAACAACAGTGTGTGTGTATGTAGTATATAACAACAGTGTGTGTATGTAGTATATAACAACAGTGTGTGTATGTAGTATATAACAACAGTGTGTATGTAGTATATAACAACAGTGTGTGTGTAGTATATAACAGTGTGTGTGTAGTATATAACAGTGTGTGTGTATGTAGTATATAACAACAGTGTGTGTGTATGTAGTATATAACAACTGTGTGTGTGTATGTAATATATAACAACTGTGTGTGTATGTAGTATATAACAACAGTGTGTGTATGTAGTATATAACAACAGTGTGTGTGTGTAGTATATAACAGTGTGTATGTAGTATATAACAACAGTGTGTGTGTGTAGTATATAACAACAGTGTGTGTGTGTAGTATATAACAGTGTGTGTATGTAGTATATAACAGTGTGTGTATGTAGTATATAACAACAGTGTGTGTATGTAGTATATAACAACAGTGTGTGTAGTATATAACAGTGTGTGTGTATGGAGTATATAACAACAGTGTGTATGTAGTATATAACAACAGTGTGTGTGTAGTATATAACAGTGTGTGTATGTAGTATATAACAACAGTGTGTGTGTGTAGTATATAACAGTGTGTGTATGTAGTATATAACAACAGTGTGTGTGTAGTATATAACAACAGTGTGTGTGTATGTAGTATATAACAAGTGTGTGTGTAGTATATAACAACAGTGTGTGTGTATGTAGTATATAACAACAGTGTGTATGTAGTATATAACAGTGTGTGTATGTAGTATATAACAACAGTGTGTGTATGTAGTATATAACAACTGTGTGTGTATGTAGTATATAACAACAGTGTGTGTGTGTAGTATATAACAGTGTGTGTGTATGTAGTATATAACAACAGTGTGTGTGTGTAGTATATAACAACAGTGTGTGTATGTAGTATATAACAACAGTGTGTGTGTATGTAGTATATAACAACAGTGTGTGTGTATGTAGTATATAACAACAGTGTGTGTGTATGTAGTATATAACAACAGTGTGTGTGTATGTAGTATATAACAACAGTGTGTGTGTGTATGTAGTATATAACAACAGTGTGTGTGTGTATGTAGTATATAACAACAGTGTGTGTGTGTAGTATATAACAACTGTGTGTGTGTATGTAGTATATAACAACAGTGTGTGTGTAGTATATAACAACTGTGTGTGTGTATGTAGTATATAACAACAGTGTGTGTGTATGTAGTATATAACAACAGTGTGTGTGTAGTATATAACAAGTGTGTGTGTAGTATATAACAGTGTGTGTATATAGTATATAACAACAAGTGTGCATGTATATAGTATATAACAGTGTGTGTGTAGTATATAACAACAGTGTGTATGTATATAGTATATAACAACAGTGTGTATGTATATAGTATATAACAACAGTGTGTGTGTATGTAGTATATAACAGTGTGTGTATATAGTATATAATAACAGTGTGTATGTATATAGTATATAACAGTCTGTATATAGTATATAATAACAGTGTGTATGTATATAGTATATAACAGTGTGTGTATATAGTATATAACAAGTGTGTGTATAGTATATAATAACAGTATGTATGTATATAGTATATAACAAGTGTGTATGTATATAGTATATAACAACAGTGTGTGTATATAGTATATAACAACAGTGTGTATGTATATAGTATATAACAGTGTGTGTATATAGTATATAACAACAGTGTGTGTATATAGTATATAACAAGTGTGTGTGTATATAGTATATAACAACAGTGTGTGTATATAGTATATAACAACAGTGTGTATATAGTATATAATACCAGTGTGTATGTATATAGTATATAACAACAGTGTGTGTGGTGGTTATCGCGCCGCGCTACGGATCCACGCCACCCAAGTTCGATTCCCGTTCACGGCCAACACCAGAGACGAATATCTGAACCGGTCCTGGGCCTCCCCTAGGTCTACTCAACCTCAAATGAGCACGAGGTGTAGCGGTGTGTGGCGAACATCGCCACTAGAGAGACAAAGGCGGCCGGGCGTGGTGCTGGCCACCCACCCCGTCGTGTGCCTTCACAGGTCCTCGCTAACAGCACTTGCCCCAGCAGCCTGTTCAGGCTACACGGGGGATCTTTGCATGTGTGTGTGTTATTTCGTGTAATATTTTACAAAGCGGACGTTCTAGACCGGGGTGATTCACCATTCTCTAGCCTAGCCCATCATGTACCTATGCTGGGGCATAAAGTGTATCAACTTGCCAATGCGTGCCCAGGAGCGTGGCACATCATCATCGCCCAATGCGTTAGAGAGCGGCCCGCGGAAGATGATATCACAGAACCACTCCTGAGGTTAAATCAAGTGACCACTTAACAGTCGTGGTGATCGTGTACATCTGTTGGTGGCGGCTCTCGTGGAGTCGGCGAGAGAGAGGGGGCGACTTCGAGGTGGCAGGAGGATGAACCGCAGACCAGCTGCAAGGCGGAAGCAGCAGCTGCAGCTGCCCAATCTCTGCGGACCTCTACATATGAAGGCATTATCGGCCAATTGATGATGAGCGTTTCAACGTGGGAGAGCCATCCGGAACAGTCGGCGTGAGAGTGGTGGGCCAGGCGGAGTCCACGCCGTTCCTGTACCGCCGTCTCGTGGCGGGCCAGGATACTGCTCCCCCTGGACAGCCACGGCAGGGAGGCAGGGAGGGAGGGAGGTTGTTGGAGCATCCTCGACCCCGTGGGGGTGGAGGAGGATCGTTGGGTTCATCGCCGCTCCCCGCAGCACCACCGGACTGCCGGCAGCCCCCGCTGACCACGCTGCCGTGCCCCGCGTGGCGATCGAGTCCCGGACTCCTTCCGTGAAACTGCAGACGAGTGAGCAGGGAGCGTTCATGTGTTCAGCTGTGAAGGTTGTAAGGGGATGCGTGGGGGTGTCTGCCACTCGTCACGAGTGGCATCGCTGCGGTGCCGACACAGGCAGACGAACGTCGTTCCTTCTCACGCCGCTCTCCAGATGGATGAAGCATCGGTTCGCGGGATGTCGCACCGGGGGGCTCTATGTCAGGGCGAGGGTATTCCAGATACGGACTCCCATTCTGTGAAACCAAACGGGAAGTTCCGTCCCCCCCCCCGCGTAACCTGATGGGCATTCGTGTTCGTCTGTCCCCTCTCGCTCACACAACCACCGAGAGAAAGAAGCCCATGCAACAGCTGCATTTTATTATGGTGGTAGTGGTAGTGCCTTACGCCGATTATAATCCCCGACTCCACGCTATGCACCCAGCTGGCAGCGTTGCGGGAAATACAGAGTGAACAATCAATCAACACAGAGTGAACAATCAATCAACACAGAGTGAATAATCACTCATTACAGAGTGAACAATAAATCAACACAGAGTGAACAATCAATCAACACAGAGTGAATACTCACTCATTACAGAGTGAACAATAAATCAACACAGAGTGAACAATCAACACAGAGTGAACAATCAATCAACATAGAGTGAATAATCAACACAGAGTGAACAATCAATCAACACAGAGTGAATAATCACTCATTACAGAGTGAACAATCAATCAACACAGAGTGAACAATCAATCAACATAGAGTGAACAATCAATCAACACAGTGAACAATCAATCAACACAGAGTGAACAATCAATCAACACAGAGTGAACAATCAATCAAC